GGCCATCGTTGGAACGTTCATATTCAAACCGTTCAAATGTGTTACTGCTGGGTGGCCAAGTGTGTCATCGCCGTATCGTATTGCTCTGGAAATATTCTGTCGACACGGGTAGATATACCTATGTTTGGGTATTAGACCTCCACTTAAAAGAAGCTTAATTTATCGCCAAAAGATGTAGCATATGCGCACGCACTGTCGCTGCCGCCTATCATCTCATTTTGATTAAGGGTGTCTCGACTGCCCCAAGAAATGACTGCAGCATCTGCAGTTAACACAACACATTTGCTGCTTATTCCTAGATGCAACACAATCGTATTAACATATGCTTTCGGGCCAGGTAAAGTAGAAACACTGGATTAATAAATGGATTTTGCTTGGGAAACCATATCCAATCATACTGTAACGAAATGAAGAAAGGACTAACTTTTGAAGAGCAGCACGATTAGCATTTAAATAAAGATATTAAATCAGACTACCAGAAACACTCTTTCGTGTGCATAAGTCCGGAAACCATCAAGATAATTCCATGTCATAAAATCAATCCTCCGATCACAGTTATCATGAGATGCATTTCCAGACAAAGCCACAACTACCACTTTATAAACAAAGAAAATTAAATAAAACACTTTAATAGTGAACAGGGGATAATGATTCACGATACAAATGAACATGCTTAGAATAGTGCATTACTAGAGGATGACAATTTGTGTGCGACTCCAAGAAAAAATAGGAAAAGGCAACCCAAATTTAAACACCTTTTCAAATAAGCATCCAGTAATTAACAAAACGCGGCCTAGGCTATAACTATGTTTAATAAAAGAATTACCGGTGATAAGGTAGAGGTATTTTCAAGCAAAGTTAAGACGTCCTCTCGAGTATGAGAGTAATCGAGCTGAATACCTACTGTACTGCAAAACATAGATTTAGCAAACTATAAGAATGATGACTGTGGAGGACTTACTATAGTAAGGCATCGATCGCAATTCGGAGTACGAGCGGAAGAGGAGGATGAAAAAGTAGAGGAGGTAGATGAAAGCCAAAACCCCCAGAAGTGCTAGAAAGACCTATGGTGTAAAACACACAGGTAAGCCACTGAGCGACCCAGCGTAGCTTTTCAATAGCACAATTAAAAAACGAACCATGCAGGAGTTGTGGCCAGCTGTGCTGATAATCAGAGTGGTGCAGCACAATTACGGTAAAAACAGTGCCCATGATAAATATACCTTTCCATCTCCCACGAATCGACCTCCACGATCAAAAGTCCATACCACAAGTTTCCCAGCCCTTCTATGCGATTATAATAAAGCGACTTTCAGGCTTGCGTAACTAGTAGCAACTCCTGAAATAACCCAAAGGTTGCAGTGGTAACATTGGCGGAGCAAGAAGGAAAAATTTAACCGTATGCGGAAAATACCATTACATTCTACATTCCAAAAGAGGCTAATCGCTGTTCTAATGATTTAAAGTGTGTACGACATTCGGTAACGTAGAAATGGAAATGAACGAGCCTAATCCTCTGCACAAGGAGAACGTATAACGATGGCATGAAAACAGTGAAGTTATAAAAAGATATAAGGAGCTGCTACTGATCCATACTGTAAGGAATTGGGAACGATACAATTAAAGGATTAAGTGAGATCAGTGTAGCTGCAAAAAGTTAACCTCAAGATAGGTGCCTTCCGTGTAGTTTGCTGACAGTGGACCTCAAATGGATCCACTTTAAACTTTCCAGAGGGATCACTAATTGCAATTAAAAATTGCCACAAGACCGGCTTCGTTGGAGTTTTCGAGAGGCACACATAAGTGCACACACCAATAAAAAAACTCGAAGAGAAACATTGCAACCATACACATTACATACCGCTATGACTTATTTTACACAAGTAAAAGTGGAAGACGCACTCTCAAACATCACATAATGGGGAAGTTTATTAAAAAGATCTTTACTGGGCTTTGTTGGGCAGCAACTTAGCCTCAAATGACGAACCGATTTTCTATTCCCCAAACTCCAACTCCGATCACTTTTTAATCAAAAGAGGAGCCCAGTTTGCTTTTCTTAAAACTGACAACCATTCTAAATCATGAAAAAAGCATCGCTAACGACAACCCAAGCCCACCACTGAACAAGATTGACAAGAGCGTTAAACGTTCAGAGATGCATTTTGTGTAATACTGGATTCCAAAAATAGAAAGACAATCCGCTGAACGACCAGTCAACTTTACAATTCAATGCACCAGCTGTATCTTGATGAACATCACCACATCGTCGACACAAATCTTCAAAATTCAATTAAATTTTAGTTTATTTTGGAGTTAACATTAGACCCAAATTATGAAATAATCAGGACCTAACTAAATTTGTTTCTGGATTTATTAAACAGGCACCTGCTCGACGAACAGTTCTGGAATGGCTAAAATTAGAACTTCGAAGATCCATTCTTAAGTTGCATAATACCCTAATATACACCTATTTTTTTTCGGCTCAGCTGTGCATCCCACAAATGGGAAAAAGGAGAAATTCCAATTCGGTTTAATTTATGGGATTTGCTAAATATACATGCTAATTACCAGTTCACGCACATTTCAGAGGCAAAGAACCTTTTTGACTTGTTGAAAAATATAACTTCATTGACGGAATTATTAGGTCATACGAAAAGCATCACCAAGTATCATGTTCCCATAATTCATTTATTCCGATTTGAAAGCTAGAGCCCGAACCCACCTGGATAGCAACTGAGTGGTGGAGGAGATAGAAGAGAGGATCACAATACTCCGAATGCACGACCCAGCCGTTAAATGTTACGAAGACGAGCCAAATTAGGGTTGGAATAATGAGGCGTAAGCAGTAGAACCGACAGCATGATCTGTCAGCCTGAAAGGAAGAAAAAACTGAAAGAGATTCTGTCTGGATTTGACTACTGGATAATCAAACATTGAATTATAGTAGACCTCCTTTGACCAGTTCATTAAACAAATTTAATGTGAGAGCTGAAGCCCGCTTTGTGAAGGTTCACGGGACCACCAGAATAGAGCAGTATAATATCCCCTGAGATTGATAACTCGATGAAGTTGGCGTGCTAATGCACGTTTTCGACTTTCCTTCGCCAGTTCAGTGTATAATAGCAGTTTTAGATGAAGGGAAGAGTAGAAGCAGAAACAATGAGATCTTCCACGGTAGTAACAACTGAGAGAATATGCCAGTCGAATGGCGAGTTTTAACGGTTTGCTTTTGAATAGTTAATTTATTTAGCCAGCTTCATTAAACATTCATCTTTTACTCAAGTTTGCCATTTGATCACTTTACTTTCTCCGAAGGACTGTGATAGAAAAAAAATGACTCACCAGCAGCAAAGAAACTCAATCCGTGAAACTATGTAGTACCTTTCCCTTCGTTTGCCATTGCGGTGGTAATTCATATAATGACACAGTTTTGCAGCGCGCCAATTTGGTTTTAAAATGCGCAACAATTCCTGAAATAGTAACTACGGAGTGACCAAAGAAGTTTGTGTGGCTTCCAGTAGAGTTCGGTGCAACGACTCCTTGTAACTCAGCGAGACATGAAATGCGTGTGAATGCTTATAAGGATGCATAATAAGGCATAGACGGGTAATGCACCAGTCTATCGGGGCGGTATTATTTCGTGCCCTGTACTCCTTTTCAGATATTTTGAACTCTCTTATTCTGAAATATTGGATGATGGGGTTTGCACTTGTTTGCTTCCCAGGCCGAGTAAACTCGATGACAGTTACATAAATTGCTTGCATACTTTTTTAAATAGCGCTTGGGGAAGGTGTTATAAGTGGCAGCAGAAAGTATCACGCTGATGTACTTAAAAGAACTTAATCTCATTGATGAATTATTCAGAGAGATGCACCGCGTTCAGGAAAATCCGCCTTCTTGACCATGAAAAACTACTTGCCACCAGTGATTAAAAATGTTTGAGGCAAAGTTTCTAAGACCAACTTTCAAACATGCATAACGGGAATGATTAAACGAAACGTTAGCAACTAACTTAGCTGGAGGGCGGAAGTAATAAAAACTAGGCAACAGAATCCAATGCGCAGTGCGGTAACAAATGGCATGAGCCTCAAAGACCATAAATTTGTTCATTGCTGCTTTCACATAGCTCAGTACACCGTGCAATCCAAGTTGTTCACTGGCTGAAGGAACTTATGATGATAAAGGGCCTTTGTATTTTAACGTTTTTAAAGCAAACCAAAAATCATGGCCACTCCAAACGACCCACCCACCACCCATCCCACAGCCTTAAGTTTTCTGCAGTTAGTTAAGTTTGATTATTAAAAAACAATCAAAAAATATAGTTACCCTACAGAACAAGGCCGTTACCCGCCTAAGTTAAAACATTTAAGCTAAGTTAGCGTCATCTAAAATGAAATTCCAGCGAGAAATATATTTAACAAGGATGTGCTAAAACCAAAATCCCACTTTTTCGTAGCTTTGACCCATAAAGTTGGCAAATATCCATCCAAGGAGCTATCGCAGAGAGATGACCAAGAGATTTCTGGCTGAGGAATGTTTCAAAAAGCCAAATAATAGCCATTGTGCTCGAAACTCCCACTTTTGGAGAGCATAACCAAAACTCTGTTTTAGAATGTATTTAATTAACAATGTCAAATAATTTGCTCAGACTGTAGCATGTAAACTGTATTAAAAGGTTTCCCATTCAATCCCAAGAAAAGTTTCCACTGGTATTGTTGTTCTTTAAAGGAAGTCAAGCAATTGTTTTGAATAAAGAAAAGAGGATCGCAATCAACCTAAGCCCCACAGCTCTTATTTGATCATTTCTGGTCTTGCCTTTCTTAAGGGAAGAAAGATGCAAAAGGCGGAAGAGCAAATAAAGTGAACCAAATTGTTAATTTAGAAGGAATAAACTAATTCAAAATAACTTTACTTAAAAACAGGGTAGCTTTAGCGTCTAACGATGTGTTTTATCGCAAACAAATTGTAAATTGATGAGAAGCTTATTAAAATATTAAAGGCATAGGTGAATGAGTAAACCAGTTTAAAAAACCCAAACACCCTTATTCGCCTTGTTTCAAAAAGGAGCACCAAAAAGGCGCAATTCGAAAACCTGCATAAAACGAGGCAAGTGTATGAAAGAAATACGATCATACATTTCCAAGGCCGCGTTAAAACATGCTCTGTTGCTGAAAATAACTAAAAAAGACGTAAAACAGAAGAAGCGAAATGAAATCGCTATCAAACATTGAGGCAAAGTATAAAGAAGCAATTTAAAACAAATTGTCCACAAAAACCCATGAAGTTGTCTACTTTTACCATTCAAAAATAGCTTTTTTGGCGAAATGGAATGCAAATTTAGACAAAAGCTGGAAAACTTTATGAAAAACAAATGACATAACTTTCCAAGAACTCACCAAAAAATGTTGACGAGTAAATGATGCAAATTTTAGTACCGAAGCAATTAAAAATAAGGCGATACTTAAAGTGAAGCAATCAAAACAGTGGCGACTGTTGACATCGACGATACAAAAGAATGATTTCACGCAAAAGCATACATGAAGTTGATAAGTGATTAAAACCGATGATTATCAAACTGCTACATAGTGAATAATTGCTGTGTGTTCTTGAAAATGAAACGTGGAGCAATTTTGCCTAAATTCTGACGTGACAGTGAATGAAGGCCTGCAAGTGAATGCAGACAGAGATAGTGAGGATTTTGATTCATGTTGTATCTGAAATGATGTCTAGTACATACGCCGGCATTCAGTTTGCCGTGTAAAATTTCCCCAGTGGTTACATATAGCTCTAATTATGTGATCGACAGTTATGAGCTTTCTGCTCTTCCATAACACTGAACTGACTTGGGACAGTCGAGACACCCTTAATCAGAATGAGATGGTAGGCGGCAGCGGGAGTACATGCGCACAAGTTACACCTTTTGGTGATGTTTCTTTTAAGTGAAGCGGATGAAGGTGAATGAAACCAAAATGTCTGAATCTATAAAAAGAGCTATAATAGAGGCGTGGGTGGGTGGATTCACGACAGAAGGATAAACGGATGGATCGAGGTGGGGGAAATCGAGGAGGATGTATTTAATAAGTAGGCTGGGCTTGGTACATAGATGATTAATATACCAGTGAACAAGGCGTCAATAAACGTCGTGTTGCAAAAAATCAAATGAAGTCCAAACCTAAGAAAAAGAAAAAAAAAGTTTCGTTTCATGTATTTTCGGTACTTTCTAGTCACTCACCACTCGTAGGGCATCAAAGACACACAGCCAGAAGAGGAGCAGAAAAGCGTAAAAGGAGACTTGAAAGAAACCGTCCAGAGCCTGTGGAATCCAACCAGACAGAAGATACATCAGTGGATGGAGGGGATCTAGACCAAAAAAGAGATTTTCCCACTTTGTGGAGCATTTGAAATTTTAGTTACGCTGTAAGATGGGAACAGCGGTCCATTCAAGTCAAATCAAACTTACTGTAGAAGAAAAGAAGGAGAATGAGGAGTACTACGGTAAACTTCTGTTCAATGGTCCAGTATTTCCACCCAAAGGATCGCATAGATACGCAGAAGCTACCCTGCAGATTAGAGAAATGAAATGCGGAAGTACCACTGATGCAAGTAGCTAAGAATACAATTCAGCTCTCAAATGCAATTTGACGAAATTCTGAGCCCTTTTTAGCGCAGGGAATCACCATCACAAAGACGAGGAAAAATGATTACACAACAATTCTCCCCACAAATTTAAATTTAGAGTCCAATGAGTAGCTCGTCTTTGACCAAAACTAAAGTCGTTTCGCCAGTGTCATAGTGACATCATAATTATCTGACACTTTAAACTCAACTTATATTCCCACCTTACACCAGGTTGTCTACAATGGTGCGCATTTCTAAAACAGTTCCGTTTACCCATTCAAGACTTCGTCATAAGCCTCCACTGAATGCAATGGGGTATAATGATACCTACGAGCCTACACCCAAAAAAATAATAAGGGAAGTAGAATATCAGAGGTGATGACTCCCAAATGAAATAAAACATCACACATGATGGAATGCTAAACTAAGCATGAATGGGCTTGTCCACAATCGCCAACACAGATACACTGAATTCAACTGACTTATTTGTTGCTCAAAAGTAATCAACCATCGGTTCAGAGTCTTCTTACTGAGCGAGTTTGGCATTATAGAGCCTTTCGTCGTCCTATAAGAGCAGCCCTTCCTTCCGACTCATAATTTACTAGGCCCGGCTATTTCTATAGTAGCTTGGCTTTCACATCGAGTCGCATTAAGATTTCAGTCGTAAATGTTTGGGGATGTAGCGATGCTCGCCTTGGAAGTGTAGTGGTAGGGGTCCTTTAACTTAACGAAGCCATTACTGCATCACAGTTCAATCGGCCAACACGGTATGTTTTTAGAAGGTGCATAACAAGAGTGAACAACAAGCTAGTGTTCTTCCAAGTTTACTGCCATTTCTTAATGCATGGCGTATGACACCCAGATAATTAACTTACATAACCTTCTCTTATTCTTAATGACCAGGAATGGAGAATCTTCCAGAAGGTGATGCAACTACTTTTGAGTAATCCGTCGATTAAGGCAACTTGTTAAACTGTTTCTGGGAGATGCGTTCCGCTATTGTACACTAAACTTTCTCCAAAGCCCATACAGAAAGCTTTAGAAGCGAGTTAGATTCGGCTTGTAAAGCAGACAAGCTCAACGGATATCCATCAGGTTGAGCGAATATTTGATGTATCAGAAATGGGAGAAAAGTGGCAGAGAGAACGATAAATAGTACCGTACTGATAAATCAGCAGTCATTCATTTATCCCCTGTAATGTGTACCCATAAAAAACCAATGCATTTTACAAGTCATTACAAGACATTGAAGTGATTTATGCCGGAAAAACTACACGATCTTTTTGGTCACCCAATGAGGGTAAAACCTAATATATATATTAATTTTTCAGACCTTGAACGAAGACACCTAAAATTGCTTTATTAAAGAAATGTTTGGAATTGATCCTTACTGGCTTCTAAATAAGTAAAAAGTTAATTAAAACCTTCGGATCTTAAAGCTTGATTTATAAAATTCGAAAACTCAAGACGCAGATATCAGAAGATAACACAAAGGCAGCCTAACTTATGGTCGGCCTTAAAATCAAACAGAGCACCTTGGCTCATTTTCTAGCACGATTAGTCGATTATGCTTGAAAACAGCTCCATTTACTTGTCACTTGTTTTGCGAAAAAAGGCCTCGATATGAATAATGCTTACACAAGTGGTAGCGTACCTCCGCAACAGCCTAAAAGTCGCCCCTTAATTCATTGCTACCAAGGTAGCAGAGACAAATCGACCATCACTACCGCGCATAAACTGCACGTTTATTTCAAGTCCTTCCGCTCCAACAATGAAGTGTGATCATCCCTCTCAGACAAAGATAAACCTGCACCTTAACTATTTCAAACAGCCAGTCTATTTGTGACACAGTTCTGTGCAGAGAGTTGTTATAAACCCATTAAAAGCATGGCACGTTTTCGCGACGCCTAAGGTAAGAAAATAGCAACGTCACCTATGCGTGACGCTGGCAGTTAATGTTAAATGAACCTTACTTGGCACGCTTAACATTTTTTGCTCGAATGCTCATAAGCGCCTTTTAGAGAAACACGGAACTTCAAATCAGCCAATAGGCGAATTAAGTGTTTTTCACTTAGCATAAAAACTTAGCCAAACGGAAAACCCATTAAAAGCATCTAATTTAAAGTCCACGCTCAAAAACAATTCCAGTAGATAAATGTTGGGTTGTATCCGAGGGAGACCTTATTTCAGAAGTGAAGCTAAATCAGCTCCAGCATTAAAGCGTCAACTCACCAAGAGTCCGAAAGCTGCCAGAAAAGCGACAAATCGCAAGAGTAGCTCAAAGTAACTAAAAGTGGCATTGTGCGTCTGTGTAATGAACTCAATTTCCGTAATCTCGAAGGCGGGAATAAGTGGTTTCTCGGCCTCAGCATCCGCCATTTTCAGCTTCATTGCGGCTTCGTGCATATCGTCCGCATCATGGGCCAGGTTACCACCGTCGCCTTCTTGTTCCACATTGTTTTGCGGACGAAGACCAAAGAACCTCACTTTGAAAGTGTAAGCCGTGCAATTCAGCAGGGCAAGATGAACTAGCTGCAGCTCGTTGCATGCCTATAAAAAATGAAGCTTCTTCAACACAAAAATTACTACTGATGTGAATTTCACCGAAAGTTTGCTACTGCTCGAAATCAGGTGACTCTAGATAATAATGTAATTCAAATGATGAATTACTCAGGGATAAACGTAGCGCTTTTAAAAAGGAGATCGCATCGAAGATGGAAGAGTTGGGAAACAAAGTGAAAGGGACGAAGTTGGTTGATCTAGGCCACTCTTTTGGTTTCCAGATACCAAATACCATAAAAATGGAATTTACAGAAAGTTCGTGATTCTGAAAAATGCTTTGATTGTTGGTTTCAATGATTATTCCAACAACCAAAATACTTCAGAAGCTTTCTGTAATTATTCAATGTTATTATAAGAGCACAGACTTCTCTGGCTACATCATTCCATGCAGCTGAGAGTAGCACACACGCACCATTTGTAGGAAGAACGGTGAGGATTTATCCGCTGTGCTCCACCTTACCCGACAAGCAGATGATGGAGGACTTATCGTCGGTCAGACCATATACTACCAATAGGAACTGGAGGCGTTGTTCATGAAAGGGTGGCTCTTTATATCGTGATTTGACCAGTGGCTCCATCATTGCTCAGACGAAAATCATGCGTCGTTATTAAACCGGCTTTAAGGTAATGACTGAGTAGGATTTTTTCAGAGCCAATTGACTGCAAAGATCATTAGCTGGTTTATTCTTATCTTCACTTTTCATAAACACAGCGAAGTATACATGTTAGTTTGAGGAAGCACACTTTAAAATCAACAGATCATACCAACTGAAAAAAGGGCGACTGAGGGATTGCAAATGCATCTTAACTTCTAGAAAGAGCATTAGTTCTAAGACGTTAGCACTAATTTGTGACAACAATAGGACCATGTGGAGTACACAAAATTTTTAGCTTAAGCCATTAAGTTGGCGGTCCAAGCAAAAAAACATCTCTGTCGTTAAGTTAATCAGTACATTACATGTGCAAGAATCACATGGAAATAAAGGTACTTAGTAATATTTCATACTGATTAAGAAGGTTTTTAGGCTGGATAATTATCGCATTAACGCTGCCAAAATTTACACCTAACCCTTCAAAGATGGTTAACAAAAAGTCACACTACTAGTATTCCTTCAGCAAAACGATACCTTCCCGTTGTTGCAAAAGAGCATCGTATTTCTCTGATACGTAACGATAGACAATACTTCTCCGGCGCCAGGATCTGAATTGCCTTCATTTCGCATGTCCTTTGGATACGTTCGACACATTACCGATATGTTTACGGTAACCGGAATCGACATAAAGGCTGAATTAGAGGGGAAAAAGAAAACCGCTAAATCAGATTAGGATGCCGACATTTCAACATTGGAGAAATGCAAATGTAGATGTACTAGGCGTAGTAGTGACAGGTGTGTCGCACATCGTAGGCTAATCCAGTCCGGGTACTCTTGCGCGAGACAACGGCGCGTGCGTGTGTTGACGAAAGAAATTTCTTGCAAGTAAAGCCATAAAATCTACATATTAAACTAATAAAATCCAACCACATCACGTCAATGGCATGCTCAACCACTTCGTGAGACATTTCGGTGGTAGAAATGATTGAAAAACGGTCTTAAATAAGTTTACCGTTAGGGTTCTCTTGGTGGATGACGGAGGAAAACCAAATCTCCCTCTGAAAGAGCATCACAGGGTCAGAAGTAACCTTGTAGAAACCGTTGTAAATAGTTCGTTCTTCTGGGAGAATTTTAGTAGCGTAGTGATTGTTGCGCGTCAGCACCGACGGACCCAAGATGCCAGCAGTGATTGAGAGGAACATAATGGTCATGAAGATGAGGATGCAGGAGAAAACATGCACCTTTTTCACTGAGTACAAATGCATATGCACAGTGCTAAATAAACGGAAAAAGAAAATAAAAACCCCGCATTGAGCAAGGAAAACCAAAGGCAAAGAAGCAAGTTTGTTATGAAATCACACCAAATGGGCCGAGAATCTTCGTAAAAAGTTTACGTGAATAATAAAGACGAGTAACCGAGCAAATAATTAAATGAAGTCACAAAATTAGGACTATCAAAAGGCCACACCAAATTTCAAGGAAAAGTTACGGTAGGAGATTATGCAAAAGTGAAGTGTCTTAAAAGACACGGTGTGGAAGGGAATCGACTGCTAATATAAACTTCTTAAACAGCATAAAAAGAAAACTCACGTCTCAAGGTCCCGCTGGTACCCCATCCTGAAATCGAAAATGCCGCCCCGTGTGACCATAAAGTAGAGTCGGTAGCGAGAAGTAAAAATCGTCAGGAAAAAGGTGTCAAACGTAAAAATAAAACTAAAAAACGTTAAACTTAATTATAATTCTGTTTTAAAAAGTACATTGCATTGATTTAAAGCGAGCGTGGATCTCGTATGTTTAACCAACAAAATACGCACACGAATTTGTGCAAGATTCAAAAAAGGTTTTTTACAAAGCTAAATAAAAAATAGGCCAAAAAATAGCCTTGACATGTTATTTTGCGAAATATTTTTTCTACAGACTGAGTTTTACAAGTAGTTTTTTTTCGACTGAAGCTAAAAAGAGTTAGACTCTAGCTGCTCGGGATACAAAATGTATGATCTTAAAGAAATGTCGTGTGAGCAAATAATTTCTAGGTGGTAAATGCGCATTCATTGTCTTGAAATAGGATTCTGAAATAAAATTATTTGAATAAAAAGTAGAAAACCTAACCTGCCTAGGTGCTTTTCGCATTATCCTTATCGATATTCTGATATATTAATTACAATGCGTGGCATTTTAGATATTCCTTAAGTCAGGGTCAACTTTTGAAAACCAAGGGTCCATGCCGGAGTGCTCCTGTCCCAGCATCATAGTGTGCGTATGTTACAAAATCTGGCGAGACGTAAATGTTATGTATATTTATAATTATATCTTGTTAAAAGGGCAATGGTGGAGTATGAGTGGACGAGATGTTCTGTTTGTTAGTGAATTGGATGCGATTATGTAATAGGGGCCAACAGTGGTTTGACGAGCTGAAGCTGTATTTTCCTAGAAATTGTGAGGCATGCTAATCAGTTTTTCGTTATTTTTTTTAAAGTGAGTAGCTTCTTGTAGTCTCAGGATCTTAATGGGCAAAATTATTCGTGTAAAGTGAAATACACAAAATCCCCAGATTTACGCAGTAGAACTCGGTTTTTAGCAGATAAGCTCTTCCAAACGTCCTTAGAGCTTTTGTCGGAGAAGATAGAATGTTTATTGTAGTGAGAAGTGAGGCTCCAGACTTGCCAGCTTCTGAAACTTCCGGCCTATTCAGTTACCGCTGAAATGATACGAGTCCGATTTCAACGAAGTTCTCTTCACGGTAATTCGTGTAGGCTTTTCTCCTGGGTTGTGCGTGGAATATGTTTGGTTGTAACTTGCCGAGGTTCACTTATTCGAAGCTGGGATGCCGTCGTTGATCACATTCTTGTCGCCAGATCATCGCCGTTACCTCAGGTTACATAGGTACTTTTGTTTCGAACTAAATATGAGTTGACTGAGTTATAAGTCTATTCGCCATACCAAGGTAATAGCCCGCATAGGGATGCGTCGAAGTACATTGCATTTATTACGTATTAATAGCATTTAGGAATGATTTAATCGCCCCCTCTAGCTTAAAGGATTCTACTTAAGTGACTTGCATAACTTTCTCCAAATTCACTTTTTTTTCTAGCTGACACTGCTATGTTCGGACATCTTCGCCCTGAATCCATTAGTATTTGCAGGCAGGTCTTCCGTCCAATATCTCAGGACGCGCACAACTATCGCAGAAAAACCGCTCTCTACTATTCCACTGGTTTGGGGATTTTTATGCTAGGATTGGGATATGCTGGGGTCCCACTTTATCGCATCTACTGTGCTGTAAATGGTGATTTTTTTTACTGCAGTCTTATAAATGTAGTAGACATTTAGACTTCTCGTCGGTTTTTCAAAATTGCATTCGGTCTTCTGCGTTTTCCTTGTTATTTCTGCTCTGGCTATTTTGCTTTCTAACTCCTTTTGCAAATCAGTGTAGAAGGATGTGTACTTTTATTCTGTAATAGCCTTCCACGCTGCCTGTGGTGAATGATATGCGTTTGGCTTTGTATTAGGCTTCATTTGACTTATACTTAGCCACAGTAACTGACGGCTTCGAAGTTTTTCCTCATTCTGATAACCTCATTGCAAACACTGCATTGTTTCGTATACTTTTATCGACATGTGCACATTTGATTCTTTGTTGATAGCCGTCCTGTGTGGTCTTCATTTGATTATTTTAGCATCATGCTTTTGGGGTTTCTTTGTTATAATACATTTTTCTAGAGTCTCCCAGCTATTCATTCTTATCTTCTCTAGTATTAGTAATTAACCTTCCATATTTCGTGTTAAAGTTGTTCAAGTTTAGAAACATTCATTTGCTTTGTCGAAAAAGGGACGATACTTGTTCAGTATCTAGTAACCTTCAGTCACAGCCGCCGATTTTTGAAAATTGCTTTTTACACCTGTGATGCTCGACACTGGTCATCGCTCTGTCAAGATGAACGACTGGAGGCATGCTATCACAGTGACGCTGGAAGGCTAATTTTTAACAGCTTATCATTTCTGCAAGGCTTCCCCTTTTTTACAGGAATTGTTCTGTATTAGCTTCATATGGTCTTTACTTCGTGTCATGTGCTCCAAGGTTTTTTTAGTTTCCACAATTTCTTGATCATAGCCCTCACTTCTGCTGCTAGGCCTTTGTTATGCCTTCCGATGGAAGTGCGCTTTCTTTAGTCAATCGGGATAGTGTCTCCGTACTGCCACGTGTTCCCACCTGCTGCAATGTTGTCATCCGAAAAACTTTCGCAATTATAGGTTTCACTTCTACCACAAGGTTTCTCAGTAACTTTCATGAAATCACGTTGTTCTGTTTCTAACACCACAGAAAAGTGGAAGGGGCTCAAACACAGATGGCGCTCGTGTCTCAAACGCTGATTTCATCGCGCGGATGAAACCGGTTCGTGAAAGACGCATCACTGTCGAATTCTCTGCCGACACTTATTCACACATGGCATGGAGTTTTAAGCCCTTGCAAAAGCGGGTAGGCTCGTGTTTTATCGAGTTGGAGCATTCTTCTGAAGACTAACTTGCTTTTTCCTGTTCTAGCATTCTCTTTAAATTGTGTTTTTTTAATGTGGTTTTAAACCGCTTTTTTGGACTCAATAGGACTAGTTTAGGGCGGTCTCGCTACCTCTGAATGGCTTATAAAAGTAGGGTTTTCTGTGCATAGTTCTGGTTTTATTTCTCTCCCCCACTTTATATCCATAAAATCGTTATCTCTCTTCCATCTGGATTGTTATCTGTTTCTTTAACCATTACATGCTTTCAGGCTTTCATAGTAAGGGATTTTTCATGGACGATTTTGACTCCCCTATTTAGTGACCTTACTAGGCTGGCGACCAAATAGTTGATGCGGTCTCCTTGCCTCTTGCTGAGTCTCATGTCTTCTAGGCCACTTTGACCCTGGCTTTTTGGAAGAATCGACGAAAATTCCACTACTCACAGGAGGTAATGGGCTTGGGTTACACCCTGTTGCACTGCTGCATATTTAACAAGTGTAAATCGGTCCTCATAAGCAACACTTTGTTTGGACTGCTTCTGTGCATTGACCTACAGGGGAGCAGTGTATAATATGTGGCTAATTTTCACCAAAGCTCTGGAGATATTGGAATTCGGTGGTGGAGGTTTATCTCATCAATTTCGGTGGGATGTGTTTATTACATCTTCCTAGGGAAACTGCAAGAGGCAAACAGGAATGGGAAGTGAGGACTCTAGTGCAGTAGTTCTTTCACTGGGTATTGTAATTGTAGTACGACGAATTAAAGCTTCACGCAGAACAGTGTATCCTGTGGTGAATGTACATTTCATCAGTTCCAATGTTTACGAGGTATTCCGTGAATGACAACGAAGCACGACTGGATTTTGGACATTGTTCGTGTCTCGGATTTATCATTTTTAGAAGTTGCTTCTAGTTCATTATTTATGGAAGGTTTTTTCCCTTGATAAAGGATTTCACCTGTTAAATGGAGGTCATAGGATGTGCTGTTTAGTGGAAGGTCACTGGTCTTTTATTGGCACTGTTTCCCAATCTTTTGCAAATTTTTTTGGTAGTTTCTCTAGTTGTTATCGGTAGGTTTAATGCTGAAATCGGAATTATTTCTGAAGTTTGCCTAATAACTTTAATTGCGATATTTTTCCTGCCGAGAAACCGATTTGATCCTATACATTCAACTCTTACCATATCCAAAAATCTTGAATTATATGAGGTTGCTTGTTTTTCATGAGTAACTTCACCACTTGGGAGTTCATATATATTACCTCAATTTAATTTCAGCTAACGATCGTCCCTGGAGAGACGGCCTTGGCCTTTTATACAGCAAAAAACCCAACATCCAAGCCCATAGTTGGTATCGCAACCTACACGGTATTGCCAATAGAGGCGGCGAAGTATTTTAACAAAATACAGGTAAGATCTAGACAGTAATAAAGCGTTATTTTCCTCTAGTGCTTCTGTTTCGAGGAGCAAAGACTCAATCCAGGGGAGGAGGTCAGTTTGTAACCACTAAATATCATATATACTTATGTGGCATAAGTAAAAAAGCATTATTTTCATCCAAATAGGTGGATTTGCCCGTGTTCTTCTTTCTTGATCCAGAATTTGATGAGGATCCACATTTAATGCGAACTAACAGACTCACTCTACATTACACCTTTTTTGAGGCCAAGAAAGAGAAAATGCTGGTGCCTGGCATCTCAAAACCCATTCTGGAGGATGTCGCCTGATTTTTGTTGATGGGATTACAAGACTTGCCTTTTCTGTGTATTTTTTTCATAACATGCAGATAATTTTATATTTCCAGTTCAATATTTCGTTTTGCTTTACTCTGGAAAATATTTTTGTACTGGTAGTATTTTGCCTGAGATGTAAAGTGTAATTTGCCCATGCTTCAGCTGGTTTCTATAAGGGAAGTCACTGTGAGGTTTCTCTAACACCCTGTGTCGAAAGGAGTATCTTTGACAAGTGAGAAATAAATCGACAAGTCGTTCATTGTTTTTTTGTCGTTTGCAGCGCCCTTTCGATTTGCTGACCTGCTTAGGAAGTCACTGGGACGCAGTGATTAAACGAGCTTATTGCAAACCTCACTCCCATAAACCATTTTGGCCCTAAAAACAGGTAATTAAGTCTGCACCCACCCACCTCGTCTTTATGCCCCAACTGCCTACTCCATTTCTCATGCGATCGTTTAATGCCATTGTCAAACAGATAAGTCACCGCTTGGGGAGGAACTGTCAGGTAATGCGGAGGAGCATTGGGATCAGGCGATATCTCCCCATCCTAGGGTGCGATATGAAGTCTCCTCATTGATAAGTTTTGCAGTTGTATGGAGCAAGTGATGTTGCGTGGTCTTGCAAGATCGAGAATAGCACCATCTTTCAATTGATTCGCTAGTGTGGGAGAAATGTTTTTTGTACTCATTTGAGGTGCATTGAGTCAACCGATCGTGGAGACAGTCGTTTGGTCTTAATCAGGTGACCCACTGTCCCTACAATCCAACAAATATGTCCACTCAAAAATTAAAAAGCCTTGCGGGGATGGAGGGGTGCGTGTATTGAATTGTGCGTTGGGTAACGCTAGCAAGGAATTGTCCAAGGGCAGCCGATGATACATCGGCATAATGATGAAACGCAGGTGTCGGTTCTTATTCGAATTCAATGTCAGCCAACCAGTAATGGGGAGTGCTTGGTGCGCCTTTAAAGTCTCATGTCATCTGTAGATGCACGTGAACGAAGCCCGTTTCCTTAGCTTTCGTGACTTTCACCTCCCAGCTGATGAATTCGCCAACGAATTGCTTTATAATCATTCGCGTAAAATACTACTAAAAGCTGTTCTTGATCTTCCACCAGCTAATAGCTGTACATCATTTTCTACTTTAGCCAGGTGCGAAGAGTCTTCTCCAATGCTATGCGTCTATCTTTAGCTGGCTCACCACTGAGATCAAATTGGTCCAATCTTATCCAAATTCAATACAACAAATTTTAGAGAAGCTTCTGCAGCTTCGTTGTCAAGTTAACTGTGTCCGTAAAGCAAACCAGCTCGAGGCATATCAACCGCCATGGGATTCAGCCGATAGTTTATGCGATGGAGTGGGTTAAAAATTTGAGAAAAAAGGGTAGCTGACGATAAGGGCTACTGTGCCGATAGCCTAAATCATAGCTATCTTTGCTGTGCAATCCATGAATATAAAAAAAATCATGCATTTGACAGGTCTTTACAAGTTACAAGAGTTTATTTCACTAAGCTGTACCGAAAATCATACGGCCTCTTTTGTAACAAATCGTCAGTAAGTAGTAATTTCAGAGTTTCTTCTATCCACACTAATTGATGCATTTGTTATCCTGGTCTCGATTTTTGTTGGAAGGACAGACTCAAATGCGACAATAAGCTTCGATATGGTAGATATTCGAACGGTGCCAACGCCTGCGCGGCAAATTTTTCAATGCATACAATAAAATGCGCCATATATACCTGTAGGAGTGTCTCACCTAGTAAATCTGATTGGATAAATTAGCTTCTCCACTAAATGCTCTGTAAGGTGGTGACTATTTTGGTTAAAATCTGCGTCGCATTCGTGATTATGTGTTGACTGATGGCCTGAAATACTTTGGTATTTAGCTAAACTGTTCCTTTTGGACAAGGCCACCTAACACTTATTCCGACTTGAGGAGGATTGTATTACTTGCATTACTAATTAAACAAATACTTCACTTTAACAGGCACGATTTCAGCATCTGTCTACGTGGAAAGCTGACTACTACAGTCCATATCTTTTGCTGCCGCATGTAATTTTCTTCCCCCGACCGGGAACATTCTTACTCATCTAGTCTTCATCACAACACTATTTGGTGCGGCCATGGGCTATCACAGATTTATTACGACAACATGTTGAGTGTTTGAGAAGTCAGCCTTGAATTAGAAAATCAGTGCGCCATGTATGCGACATTAGCAGCGAACACGTTAAAGCCCTTTAAATGCGTTGTTTTACTAAAATCAGTTTGGCCGACATCTCCATTGACAAATACCGCCCTCTTAGTTTTTGGTGGGAATTATAATTTTCAAAATATCGAGGTGCCATATCTGAGGAATTGAATAGAAATACATTCGCTCACGCTCCACAGTGCGTTGGCAGACGGCTTGTTAGTGGACAGCGCTTTGGGGAACCTGTCAATGGAATGTCTGACCCAGTAGTGCTTCAAGTTAACCATCACAGATTTATTCGCCGCAGCAGCAGGCGATGCAGTTTTTGGTGCCTTTGAAGAGGCAGAGCTACGTCGTCTCACAAGGTTGCTCCACATGCCGACACCGCATTGCGTGATTAGTCTGCCTTTGTATTTTCTTTTAGGGTCATTTAATTGCTGAGATGTTGGAAAATCTTTTGTCGATTAAGTGGAGATTAAGGGACAAATTTATCAGTGTTGTTTACCTGATTGATTTGACGAATATAGTGGCGACTATCATTAAATGGGATCTGTATTTCCTTTTAACACACCACCTGTTACATTTGCGCAAATTTGATTGAAATAATGCATGAAATGCGACTTCTTCGCAGAAAGTTGTCTGCATGGTTGTTCAAACGCACGCACGTCTGCCTCGGTCCCGACTGGTCTTGAAGTGATTTCCATGCATGAGCATTATAGTCATGGAAGTGCTTTGTTTTACTTTTTGAAGTACACGTCACTAATTACAAAATATCGTTTCTCTCCACAGGTAAGCAGTGTCTGATAGAAGTCCATTTGAAAAACTATGCTCAAGGATAGACAATACTTTTGTCCGGACGTATTCCGAATGTAAGTAAATTTTGGTTGGAATAGTCTAACCACCCCAGAGGGTAATGAAAAAGGCTCCCTTGGTGGGATAAAACACTGCCACAAATAGCTCTCTTGTTGTAACATGAGAACCCAATTGCAAAAGTCTAGGTTAATCAAAAAGCGGTACTTCACGGCCGAATACGGCCATTTAGGAGGTCATGCCATTTACTGGGATTCTGGTAACTCATGAGGCTGCATTTGATGATTTAATCATGATGCTCGAATGACTGCCTTGAGTGCTGCCGACGACCAAAACATGCGTACAAGGGTACCAACACCTCTCTCCTGGGGCGTTCTTACGGAACCACATCTCTTGTCCTCTTTTCCAACAGCCGGTGTAGGTAACATTGGTGCTGCGTTTCTCTGTGAAAGAATGAATGTTTCAGGTAGCACACCCTTTGGTAGTCGCAGCTTTTCTATGGTGGTCCCATAAGTGGTCACTTCCATGTCCAATTATCGCGCTGAGATTGGACAAACCCATCTAGATACATATTTGAAAAGTAAAATGAATAAATAAAGTCTGTTTCCACATGTCATTCGTCTACAAAACTTAAGCGGATAAAATGGATCTTCCTATTAGAATAGTTCATCACTGGTAACAGCAGCATTCTCTCGAATCCACCAGCTCATGAGAAGAATCAGTGTTGTTTTTCGTAAGAGAATAGACCTTAAGAAGTACCATTTGGAGACCAGAAATTTTAGGCAAACACGATTTTAATAGTGCCACAACAAATTAATATCCACAAACTGTGAATGCTTGTCGAATCCCAAAGTTGCCTCTCGATTAAACACTCAACCTTTAATCTTAAACAAGAAGTGCTATTTTCCATCTAAAAATGACGAAGCACCTGAGTTAATGGGATCAGAAGCATAAAACCTTCTGACAATGCTAATGATTTCAGCAAAAATTCTCCTGTTTCTAATAAATGTAAAAGCTCCGTTTGCTTAAGCTCGTGTTATTTACTTCTACCAATGTATTAGATAATGTGTTGTGTTCAGGTAAATAAATTTGACCTGATCTTTGTGACTAGCCTCCTCCACCTCCTGTATGTCTACGATCAACTGTACTGCGTCCGTCGGTGCGCCTCACCGACGAAGCAGGACAGAGGCCCACCAATTAGTGAGAAGTGAGGATCCAAGGGCCATTGACTATGTAACGTGTGTGGAATACTGATTACCTCACCAATAACAACAACGCTGCAATTCAGAATTGGAGGAGCCTTCACGCCGGTCAAATTCATTATCGCCGTCGTCGTTGCCGTTACTGTCACTGTCCTCACCGATTCTGCCAACACCTACACCACCCCCATCGCCAACTTCCACGAGTAGGCGCTTTTTTAATCCTTCGTCCATCCTTTCTGCCTGCCTTCTCCTCATTGCTATCCTCATCTATCCAATGTGGATCCATTCTCTTCCATCTGAACGTGCAGGTGGATGAAATAGTCGAAGACACCTCTGCCTATTCACTTTTCCTGGTGAAGAAGACGAGACACTGTTGATATAACCAGATCGTCAGTGCGGTGGGAAGAAACTGCCTCCGAGTTTGCTACAATTTGTTGTGGAGAATCAAGACTCCGATTAGCAAAGAGACCACTCTTCGTATGCCTTTTCGAAGAAGAAAACAACTTCTTTTATGGAATTGCAGATTCTCTGTCGAATCAAGACACAAAAAGCCATGGCAACAATATGGGTGAATGAACATCTCTTTATCTATCTTCACTTTCCTCTCGGCCCATTCCGCACCTTGACAGAAATGCGGCACTCATTGTGGCTAGTCAATGCATGCCGGGTATTAAACCAGCTTTTTGCTTTTAACTAGAACAAAACTTTGAATATCATCCTCAGCTGAAGCAGTATTTCAGTGGGAAAGAGTGTGAATGTGACGAAATCTGGATGCATTATTTCATTTCTAAATTCAAAAGATCATCGTATCCATGTAATCATGCAGAATCACCACCATCAGGAAAGAAATTTGGTTTATTTCTTCGGACAAAGCGTTCATAAGTGTTTTCCATCGCAAAAGTACTGTTAATTGTATGGATTTTCTGCCCATTTTTTTGCAAATGACAGTGCTGGCTATGCCAGTCATGGTGTGCAGGGACCGCGTCTTTACCTGGGAACGAAACAGTCAAATTCGTTCCTTGAGGATAGTCAAGTTTTTCTCCGAATGGCTGAAAACCTTGCACGACTCACCACAATTAATGTACATGGTGACAAATGGGATGGGAGACATTGCCATATTTCTGTTACATAATGGGTATCCATAGCTTCCTGAATGAGTATATCAGTACCGGTAATAGAGTAAAGCTGAGTCCCAGAATGGTTCAGTGCTGCTGACAAATCCACCCATGACAAAGCATTGGTTGGACGCTGAGATAGGTAAATAAAGGTAGTAGATAGGGACGATGGTGAAAATTGGCAGCAATTAATATTCTCCTTTCTTTAAAACGAGGCTGCTGATTAAAGTGGGATAAAATGATGCAAAGAACTGTCGCGTACCACGGGCGGTGTAGTCCGAAGGCTGCGACCACCTTGTCAAATGTAGTGATGCTTCTTACGGCGCAGAGACAGTACAAGCCCGCATCATGCGACAACCTTGACTCGTCAAGATGCAAATCTACAACCTTGACATTGTCACGAGACGAATAAAGTACACAAACAAGACTTCTACCAATAATTTACTGCACCAACTTTGGAGTAGCATAGGCAAGTTATAAAATGTCGAAAGATCACAACAATGTTTGCACGTAAGCAATGAGTAACAATTAATTCCCTAAAATATTGCAGTTTCAAATCAGGAGGTTATTACTGAATCGATGTGCCGATGCGAAATTAAACTGGAATTCTGTGTGTAAGACTTCCACAAACACCGGCTATAAATGTAAAGATTAATTTTATTTAAGTTGTGTTAAATCTACCAATGAAAATTTGGTTTACTTAGAATTTTGCTTTGAATTGGAGGCGAATTATAAATGCTTAGAAAAAGCTAGATTAAATGCAAATTCTAGAGGTCCCTTTACTGTTAACCCAATCAATCAGAATATCCCAACATCTCACCATATCTTGATGGTGGATAAAGTGTAGAAGGATTAAAGTTATTCTACCAAAGTATGATTTTAATCCCACCCATTCGGAGAGCCGTAGAACACAAATTTATTGCTAAGTTCTGCTTGTAGGAATTCCGCGGCTGTGGTAATTCACATGAATGCTTCCAGCCAATGGTGACATCATTCAACGAATTGTCTTTAAATTGCCAGCAAGCAGAATCTTGTTTAGCCATAGCTAAATTTTAACTTTTCAGGAGGAATATATCTGCTTTAACTGCTTAGTTCTTCAGCGACTTGCTACAGGAGGCTTAAAAGGGCGCTCACTTCCGGCATGTTCCCAATTCTCACTAATGGTGCGGGATCACATTTTAAATGAATAAATTATACATTAAATGACAAATGATCGCTGCTACCGTTGCCGTCAATATTGAGGACTTCTGACAAATTTTACATCATGAATCTCCACCTATTAGGAGTATTTTTTGACTCGATATGAAATTTCGCAACTTGCGCTCCTGTCTCATGATAGACATTACTTCCTAGGAAGACTTGCTCCAGTCGAAGCAACGACCGCATTCATTTCTACGGTTGTCTGTGACTCGAGGACTTCCTATAATCTTCAACTATAGGAAAATCCAAGAGCAACATTTTAAGAAAAAGGAGAAAATCATTTGGAAAAATGGCATTTAATTGTAAATATTTTAATTACTCGAGTAATTTGGTTTCCGTAGGCTCTACTAAAATCTTGGTGTCACAGACATCTGCAAACGTCGATACCTTTGTAAAGTGGTAAATGGGTCTGTGTAGTTGTATACTATGGAATACATTTGGCGATAGCTAAACTGTCACGCCTTTCTAAGTGTCTTGCGTAAAGCTCCTAATCAGATGTTTTGTACTTAAAGGCCGGTAAACACATCGCTCGCTGTTTTTTTTTCGAAACTCAAAAAAACATTCCCTGAGTACATACGTCCTTGAAGTTTAACGAGTAGAGGGGACAGGCTTTTCAATATCAAAATCAAAATACCAAAATTTGCTCACGTGAAGCAGCCCATCGAATTAGAAAGTACATTTCCTCAGTCCCAGTTTGGGCAAAAAAAAAACGTGCGAAAAGTAAACAAACGTGCACGCGCACATGCACACAGTCATATCTTTGCAAGGCGGGTGTGTGTCGGGACATGTGAGCTCGCCATCCATCCCCGTATCCGTGTCACGTGATCCCGTGGGGGCTATTTAACCGCGCGGCGGGACACGGCAAGGCATGTGGACACCGCGTCGATGCAAGAATGGACTCCGCGCTTAGCATTTCCCACATGCTCTGCTGGATTATTGTCAAGGCTCTGGTCATTCCCAATCCTAAATGCAAGTTGTTTTCTGGTTTTATTTAATTTATTCAAGGACTTTTTTAGCCATCTTGACAACTTAACTAACCCGAATTTTAAGTGATCATTTGAAAAGTTACTACTGAACATGGGGCCGAATTTCTAACCATTCAATTTATTAGTGATATTTGGAACTAACTAGCAAAATGCATTATGGGCAGAATTCAAAAATTTTATTTAAAATTTAGTACGAAGAGTAGGTTTTTTTCACATACCCTCCATGACACCGTTAAGTGGGCAATTTTTTGGATTTGTTACCAGACACGCTTGAAGTCAGAGAAGACAGTCCTTTCGAGGTGTACGAACACTTCCATGGAAATGTCACGGTATGTCTTTAAAAGTTGGTTGTTTTCTAAGGTTTAGGAAAATAGCTTGAGCATTCAATGTTGAGATCGTGTACTAAGTAGTCTCCGGTTGGCCCTTTTAACACAAGAAACGGTAGAAAATACTGGCGGTTTTAGTGTCATCTATCTCACAAAGAACATTGGCCCTTTTTTATACAAATTCCATCCTTAAAAGCAAAATTTGTATCCATTTATGCATTCCAAATGGACTATCTGTGTTGGCTGCCGAAAAAATGAATTTCCATAGACATTGAAAACTACTAGGTCAATGCACGTGGTCAATGAAGTTAACATTGTTGGAACAGGAATGAATGGTATTATTTTGGAAAATCTGTGGCTGGAGAGAAAACATTAGTCTCTTCAATTAACCCTGGAAACGCAAATTTGTCAGCGACAAATATGTCCACTTTTGATGGATATGATAGTCTATTTATTAAAAAGAATTGAAAGATCCACGCAAACGACCAAATTTAGTAGAAAACACCCTTCAGTTATTTACGCACTTTTTGGGACTTTTTAAAGGTAATCTGGATTATGTGATCCTCGATGGATCTTTGAAATAGCCCTGAAACCGCGTCAGCAGCAGGAAAGTATGCTTGAACATGTTCAAGCAAGAGCACAAGATGCTGGCATGACCCATGAGAATCACTTCGTGACAGAGAATTACTAGGCCTGCCCTGGGAACAATAATTTGCCAGTTCAATTACGTGATCAACAGAAAAAGCAAGAGCCACGTGAAAATTAGAAAAATGCAGATAAATTGCGTAGAACGAGATCAAATGACTGGTAGTCGATTGACTTTCCCAGTCATAAGGTTGATAGATATGAATACTCAAAAGTGAATCGAAAGGTCCAGTTTATTACACATATTTTCGTGAGAATCGGAAATACTATCCGTTTAAGATTTCGAAGCACCAAACATAGCTGCTAGTCTACAGCCTCTATCATCTCAAGGATTCTTAAATCATCAACGTAGCATGGACTGTAATGTAAAGCTTAAGATTAATACAAAGAATGCAATGTCATCCCAAAAGTTCGAGAAAAGTATGGAAACAATTCACTAGGAAGTAGGGAAAATATTATCGGTTAAGACTAAATTCCTCAAATGGTTTTCCTTATCTAAAATATTAAATCCAAAAAGGAAAATTAAGGAGGGAGGCTTCGAAATTCAAATTTAATTTGGATGGCTAGAATTTTGCTTCAGAGACAATTAGAAGGTTGAGCGAAGAAATTTTTCTTGGTATTGCTTAAAAGTCAGCACTTCTAAAGGTTGAACTTAAACATCAGCCCAATCCGATCCATTGCCCTTCCCTATCGAGTGACGGGCTAAATGCGCACAACCCTTTCACAAACGATATCTTCTCTGAGAACCAAGATTACACTTAGTTCATCACACCTCCCTTTCCACCTCACTTCCATTTCCAAAATGCCCTTTCCATTTCCCGTATGACTGCCTCATGCTCATCCCACGAAACAATTTCAATCACCTTGGGTCTGGACAAATTGAGGAGGAATGCAAACGACAACCACGGTGATGGTAGTAATGATAGTGACGATGATAAGGCAGCATATCTTCCTCCTCTCCTACGGTGTAAATCTTCCCACAAATAAGTTTTGCGACAATATGCAGCCCCACGTAGTCTTGTAAAAACGCTAAATGAAATTTCTTCCACCCTCTCGACCAGTCTCTGCTGCACCTCAACAAGAAGTTCGTCCTGCATACCTGCCACCCGCATTGAATAGAGTAGGTAGACCTCACGCACAATTGTTGGCAGGCCTCCAGCAACTCGGCACCACTCCGCGTTAACAAGTCCGTCTGCACTCCACCACACACACGCACACACACACACACAAGGCATACCCACACTTCTGGTGGTGGGGTGCCGCCATGGAAGTGTGCGGTAGTGAATGCATTGCCTCAGGGTCACCAACTAATGCTCCAACACAAGCCATTTGCCATTCCAACTCCCAATCACGACGGTCAGGAAACAATCCAAAACACACTGCTCCCCTTTACAGTGAGTGTGCAGATAACGATGAACAACAAATTGGTCGGCCTTGAAGCTCATGCCCTCCCTTACTGCATGCATAGCGCGTGACCCCCACTTGCCAGCTAGCCTCCACGACCCTCTCGCTTGATCTAGGCAGACTAATTATTGTACCACCGATCTCGCAGTAAACGTTACGGAAAGTTACTCTTGACAATAGATATTTTCAAAATATCCTGCCCAAAAGTAACAAGCAATTCTCCATTGCCTCAGTCCAGTGGCTCTATCCCTGGGTGATTCACCACGAAAGTAACACGTTTTCAAGCACTTCATTCTGCCAAGTTCCACACAACAATGTACACGGGAAACTCCTGCAACCTCAATTCCACTCTGCTGTTTGCTGTCATCACATTGACCAGTTCCAACTACCACTATGATAGGAGGGAGTATTAGGGAGGACAGTAGACACAAGTGTACCGATAGACTGACAAATGCATGCTTTGCAAAATGTGCATGTAAACAATCTCATATCTATCACAAGTGTCTGGAAGTTAAGCTTCCATAAATCATCGTGACAGGCTAAAATACAATTCTATCGCAAGTCTTTGAGACCGCGGCCAGACATAACATTAACCACTGCAATTTCAAATAATCTATTCTCATTACACACTCATCACAAAAATGACTTGCGCTATTTCAAGGAGATTCTCGTCTAATACGAATAGTTATTTTATCTTTAGTCTGCCACCCGTTTTACATGCTCGCTATCAACATCACATGCGTGGCGCCTGAGTTCCCCAGCTGAAATATGTGCTAATGATATGTGAAATGCAGTACCCAACTCTTTCTGACAACTGACCACAGCACAATAAAAGTAGCCTAGAGTGAACATGGGCTCAAAAAGGACTGCAATTGTTAGATTCCACCTGATTGGTTTTCCTTTGAGACATCGGCAGAGAACTCATTAATAACCTGCAATAGTACTTCCCGAAACCAGAACCTGAAAAGATTATTCTCGAAAGGACTGAATACATTTTTGATGACTCTGCTCAAAACTAAGCTGCGATGACAACTAAACATAATCCGAAGTAGCCACATTCCCGATTTGTTAACCCTGCCTCTAAAGGCTTCATCAGGGCAGTAGATTCAATATGCTCGGTCCTTTTTCCTTCTCCTGTTTCAGTACCAGAGTCACCATCTTACTCACCAGGTCTTCGTCACCGGAATCCTTCAGTGAGTGTTCGCCACCAAAACTTTCTGCGCAAAGCCAGAAACTCAAATTTGCAACGACTGGAGGGATGATGCGGGCACGTTTCTCGCATCTTGAAGAAGGCGAGTGAGCGTGCTAAAGCCGTGTAGAAATAGTGGACTCCAGAAGGAGTGGTGTTTGCGCTTTCATTCGCGGTGCTCCCAGATACAGAATGTCCACGATCACAAACACATAAAAACACGGTCTATTGTTAAGTACAAAGTAGCAGGTTTCTCACCGTCTTCGACGGAGGATAACTGCACGACCAACTAGGCAAGCCGGAACATTCCAGAACCTCGGAACCTCCAGAATTAGTCCTGGTTAATCAAGAAAAAAACAAATGCAGAATGACAACTTAGAAATTAAAAACGACAGTTCTTCAAAGATAACCTAGCAAGGCCTACAAAACCATAAGTTAACAAGTACTGTTGTAGCATAAATAAATACTTCCCGAAAATTCTGCTATCAATCTAACCACAGATCTGGGATATTCAGAATAAAAAATAAACAACTACCCCTACCGGAAGGGTAGGCGGTTGCGAGGTTTGTCGAAGGGACTAGCACCAACTTTTCCCAAAACGTCGCCTGAAACAGACCAAGCTGGTGCATCTTTATTGAGTAGAAGAATCCCACTTTTAAACACGCTTTCAAAACACGAAATCCCTGACAAGTGAAAAACTTTAATCAAAATACTAAAGTGACCCCTTACTCAAGTCAACCATACTAAGTAGTATCCTGCTCTAGACTCAGTTTATTGTAACTGAACAAAAACGCTGGACAGCAAGGATGCTTCTTGCCGACTTCCACCTTTCTAAATTATGGCATTAGAATCAGAAGGACCATACGTATTCACTTGATCGCTGATATGCATTAAGACTCGATTGAGGCCACACAGATTGCAACCCTTGGCAAATTCCAATAAGCAAATCAACCTACAATGTTATCAACCCAACAATAAAGACACCTTTCGACTGTTAGTGGATTTTGGCTATACTTCGTCCCCATTTCGCGAATCAGATTGTCATACCAAGGTCTCAAGTAACGCAACTTTCCTTTAGAGACTCGGAAAAGGCTAGAGCCTTTTTAAGAGTCCCTACGCATGAAATTAGGACAACCTCATCCGCAACAGCCATCCCACACCTTGGGAGCGCTACCCCGAGGCGCCCAGTGATCAAAAGGGCATTTAGCCACTGCTCTTCAGAGGTCGCGCAATATTAATCCCATGCAGTAAAACAAACGAATCAGTGAAATTAATTTTGCCATCTAGTAGTAAAATCGCGAAGTGTCGAAGTCTGCTAATAAAAAAACACATTATTTTAGTTTTGAAGGTGCAACTGCATCTCTGTTAGTAAAGAATAGCACATTGGGAAGACTTTTAAGAGTGACTTGGTTTGGAATGATATTAAAGCCTTTTTTTAGAGTAGCAAAAGTAAACTCAGCAAGTGCTCGACATCACAGGCTGCGTTATTACCCAATATTTAAATATCTGTTTGTAAAACAAATTATGCATAAGTCCCATTATTTCCCACAATTTATTCCAGAGTAGTGAAAATGATTATGCAACTTACGAATAACTTTGTTAAAAACACACTTTTTATAAAACAGGCAAACCCAAAAATTATGCAAAATAGCTAACGGGTTTTTGCACGCTGTGCACTCAGATTGACTATCTGTCATAAGTGGTCATCAAAAAATAAAAATAAGTATACAATTGGAATTGGAATAACGAAGGGTGGTGGAGGGGAAGAACCAGAAAGTGATGTCAACTTATACGCTCGAGCATGGCTGGGATGGAAGAAGACACGCCGAATATAAGAGAAGTTGGCTTGTGGGTAATTCGAGTCTGAAGGCCAAAAAATGAGATCCTTTACTGCTTCGTTCTGCGCACTTTGCCAGTGCCGAACTCTAAGGCGTAGAGAAGACTTTCGCATGTGCCCCGATGCGTAAAACCACTGCTCACTATCGCCATGTTCCGACGCTTTAAGGGATGAAAGCATTTATGTCCTGATTAGCACAAAATTGTCCGAATGAACACTGTTAATTAACTACCGTGTCCAATTGTGTGACTATGATGTCATTTAAATCACTTTTAAATCCGCGCTTTTGGAAATTTCTATAATGTTCTCCCTTTAGAAAATGCATTCCTACTATTTAAACTACTACCCAGGTAACTAAACTTACTTTTAGGCCAGTAAATAGACAGACCATTGAAATTCCTTGTCAGCGATATCCCTGGTGATGTTGTTATGTACTAAATTGTGCAAAAGTGTCACAAATACTAAACTTTGATGTGGTGTAATTCAAAGGGAACTCCTCGATATACTCACCCGAATGGGTCCATCAAAGAGAAATATGAGGTTTACTCCATTTTTGCCAACTATATATGGTTCAATCCTTTGCACACCAGTGCGAGCATTATGGTCTGAAACAAAAAAAATATTTAAATTGCATTCATAGTTGACGTTGGATCCTGACCTAGGAATTGTACATCTCCCTTTTTTAGAAGTACTCTTCCATTCAGTTAAGTCAAGTAGCTTCAAGTATTTTATATTTATACATAAATGTAAGAACCCTCAAAACGGCATATTTCGGAAGAACTTCTTATAGTAACATTTTAGTGAATGTAGACGGCAAATACAACCATTGATGGTTGTAAATAATTCCTCCCATGATTCTTACAATAAACCTCTTTAGTTTTCTCAAATATATATAGACATCCTAAAATTTATGAAAATTTAACGTAACGGGAAGTGAATATTTACCACCGCCTAGACACACGTAGGTCAAAAGGTGCCGAAAATTGTCACTTATAGATTCAGAATTCCTCCGACGACACCGTTTCAGTCAAAAAGCATGGAACGAATTTTAAACGGACTTATTTTTCTCAGGTTTTTAAACTTGCAGACATGAGAAATAAGCTGAGGCAACTGCACTCCTCCTGATGCAACTTGATATGGGTGATAAGCGTAACTGGTTCGAATAGCATTTGGTAGTTTTCACGCGAATGTGGCGTGATTTTTAAGCATCTCTCCCACTTTATCCGCAACAATGTATTTTAGTGCTATTTACAATTCACGTACCTGCTCAGCTCAAAACACACTTAAAAATAATATAGGCAGAAGTGGTTACGTGAGTCTCGGCGTTTCCCTTTTACGAAATCAATTTAGCTTCACTTTCATTGACTCCACCAATCGGATGCGCCAAGAATTTTATCTTCGTTGTCCTTTTGTTATGGCGTTATTGACCTGGACAGCTGTCCCAATCTTCCAAGATGATTTAGCGCCAATAAAACATCTCTTGGTAGCTATTTAATATCAACCTTGACAATGTATAACTAAGTGGCTTCAGCGAAGATTGCAATTACGCACCTCCAAAATACTCCACAGATTCTACTGGTCTAAGTTTGTAAAAGAGGCTAGAGGTCAATACAATGATTTACCAACTGACAAAGTATCATGGATTTGGTGGAATACCTAGAAGAGGTAATAAGGCCTTGCAGATGTTTGTACAGTATTTGGTGGACCATTACTCTTCCACATATCGACTTCCATACCGATAATGTGGAGCCGTGCTTCCCATAATAAAGAGCCTTCCAGACTCCTAAGCCTTACAATATCTTTCAGTTAAATCGAGAGCTACTTCGAATGCAGCCAGGGGATATATTTTGCACCTTCTTCTTCGCTGCCACAAGTGAATCAAAGAAACCATACATGTCCGCTCTGGATGTCTGAAGCTTCGGAGACTCATGACGGAAAATCATGGAAACGATTAGAAAATGGTCCTAATTTCAAATTCTATTTCATGAAAAGACTCGTTAAAAATAAGTTGTGTCATCCATGAAAGAGCCGCTTACAGTATTCTTACGGAAATGATGAACAGTGCGTCAAGTTCGAGCGACCGCTGCCTTCCTACGTTTTAAATAAATAAGACTAATCAAGACAGGTAGCTAGAGGGCACTAAAATGATGGCGAAAATGAGATGGAGGTAGGTTTGCTCACGAGGAAATTTTACTACAAAGAGCAGTTTGCGCATCAAGCTCAATCACGTTGAGGTAGTTTCCCAACGGACGACATGACAATTGATCTCATCGAAGTCTACAAGATATACCGAGACAATCGAATCCAGAAGTTTTCCACACAATGGGGACCACCCTTGTAGATAGGGGATAAAGAAGTGTAATTAATGTAAGAGCCAAAGTGAAGATCAAAGCAACATCGAGATTATGCTGTCCTTGACTTCAAGTTTTTATTTGCAAGTTACCCCAATTCAGGCGTCTGCTATAGCATTACTTAAGAGAAAGTTAAGGAAACTGGGTTTTTGGGCAAACATTTGAGTTAACATTTTACCATTCCCTTATTAAAAGTTACATAGCTAAAACGAAAGTGACTTAATGAATATTTTAATTTTGCTGAATGAATGTACAACAGATGTATTATGCACCAAATACAAATGCTTGTACAATTTCATTTATCTTTACCAGAAAACCACTAGATTTTTGTCATTAAACATCCGATTTTAAAATGGCCGCTCATTAAAAGATAGAAATGCTTACGTTTGATGTTTTCCAATTCTGCCTCTTGAGAGAAAGTTAAGACAATAGGCCGAACACTTAAATTCTCCGGAAATACAACTGCAAAAGCACTTCGTTCAAGTAACCGTCCCGATATGTGAAGCCATCGGCTCTCTATGGAAAAAAACTTCGAAAATAAGTTCCTGTCAAGCTGTGAATGATCTCATTGAAGCCAATTTTAAAATTCATCGCAAACAGTAATTATTGTTTTGCAATGACAAAGTTGTGAAACCGCACTGAGATTTCATTTTTTTACGAATTAAATGAGAGATGGTTTCTGTCTTAGTCGCTTCCATATCACAAATCGCTATCTTTATCTGATGTACACGTAAGCCACAACTTACCTGAAAATGTTTGGACGCAAAAATCAGGTGGACGACAGGGTGAGGTATTCGATCCAACTCGAGCCCTCGGATGGGAGTCGAGAAGCTTAAAATTTGTGGAAGAAGAATGCGGCATTGCAAACCTTTCAGTTCTTCTGTGCATCAAAAATGTCCCTATTGTAAAACTACCTAGTATACGTGTTACTGAATGTTAGAGAAAGTGGTCCTTTTAACCGAGCGGTAAAAACCATCTACTTTAAATTGCAGGGACAAAAGTGTCGAAGGTGCTCCTCATTTACGAGAAGTATTTGCCAAGGCCGAAATTCCTGTGTACATTCTTGTGTGGAATTTAGCAGAGGTGCGGTAGCAGAACGCGATGCTCAGAATGAGGGGGTTGAAAACGTGTACTTTCATGGTGAATCACTCAGGGGATAGAGCCATTGGGCTGAGACAGA